TTTTAATTTTTGGCCACCATTTTTTTTTTTTTGGGATTTGTATACTTTTTTAGTGTATGTCAATTTATTTGATTTTTTGTTACTTTTTCAAATGTTTTCTGTCACTTTTTTCTATTTTTTCTCACTTCTTATAATTTGTGTTACTTTTGTGAGTGTATATCACTTTCTTTGAAATTTCGTTACTTTTTCGAATGTTTGTCACTTTTTCCAATCTGTATCACTTTTTAGGTATATGTCACATTTTTAGTGTTTGTCACTTTTTCTTGACATTTGTCATATGAATTGTTCTGGATATGTTAAGAATATGATTACTGGTGTTGCACAAATGAATGATGTTATTTTGGTGTTTGTCACTTTTGCTTTTCTTTTTTTTTTTTAAAATTTTGTCACCTTTTGAGTGTGTCTTTTTTTTTTGTCACTTTTTTTTTTGAATTGTGAAAAAAGTGACAAATTTTTTAAAAAAAGTGACATTGTGTCACTTTTTAATTTTACATTGTATTTTTTAACTTCTAAAAAACTTTTCATATTATTTATATATATACACACACACACAGGTGCCTTGGAGAGAAAAAGAAATAAAGGGAGCAGCTTTGGGGAGATTATATATACGACATAGGACGGTGAAGTGGGCAGAAATAGAGAAAAACTACCGACGGCTGGACACAAAAACACACAATTGGGCTGAAAATAAAAGATGGCTGATGGAGAAAAATGGGAGGAGATACACATACAATAGAGGTTGCACACACAGAAACATTAGCAGAATTTGGCAACGAAGAAGGCGGACTGCTGCTAAATTTTATACACACACTTTCCGGCTGACTTTGAGGGATTGAGAGCTATAGAACACGCCAATTGGGAGGAATACATATACACACCAGAAGAAAGGCTGCAGGTTGAAATTTGTATGCAATTATTCTTCAATAATTGTCCAAGGAATTTGGAAATTATCAAGTTTCATCAAAATTGGTGATGTCTTTTCAAACTCTTGTATTTAACTCCAACATTACGTTAGGCTAATTTCTCTCGAATATTGGATGAAGATGAAATCCTTTATTATTTATTTTTAATTCAAGACACGTGGTTTAGTTAAATTTTTGCAATTCTTGATTAATCTTGCATGCTTAATTTTATTAGTTGATTGTTTGATCACCAATTAAATATATAGTTGCTTATTGTAGTGTTGGGAGGCTCACAATAGGTTTATAACGCTGCATGATTAGCACATGTGCAATAAATTTTAGGAATAAGATTTATCACGTGTGCAATCTTTGAGATAATTGTAAAATTGAATGCGTTCTATTCATTCGAATTCAGATTAGGAATAAATTCGAGTCGTGATTATGATAGATTTAATTTTCTTGGAAAAGAAAATTAATTACACTAGAATTATCGATTGTCAAGAATGCATGAACGAAACTAACTACGTAGTCAAGAATTGAAATAAATGATAACAGGTGAATTCGTAATCCAATCTTCCCATTTACACATTAAATTCCCAATTTTTCAAGCTTTCGTAGATTAATTAAAAATCACAAATCTCTTTTATTTATTTACTTTGAATCTAATTAAACACTAGTACACTAAATTAAATTTTCTTTCCCGTGGGACGATACTTTCAATCCCTGAATCTATTACTCGTCATTATGAAATTGAATGCGTTCTATTCATTCGAATTCAGACTAGGAATAGATTCGAGTCGTGATTAAGATAGATTTAATTTGTCTTGAAAAAGAAAATTAATTACACTAGAATTATCAATTGTCAAGAATGCATGAACGAAACTAACTACGTAGTCAAGAATTGGAATAAATACTAATATGTGAATTCGTAATCCAATCTTCCCATTTACACATTAAATTCCCAATTTTACAAGCTTCCATAGATTATTTAAAAATCACAAATCTCTTTTATTTATTTACTTTGAATCTAATTAAACACTAGTACACTCAATTAAATTTTCTTTCTCGTGGGACGATACTGTCAATCACTAAATCGATTACTCGTCAACGATCCCGTGCGCTTGTGAATTTTGCATGAACATATCACCTCAACTATGATCCCACACTGATTAGCTAGGATGGTGATGTGGAGTGTGGTTTTGGTCAATAGCCAACTGATTGCCACGTGTACAATGACCTAGAGCCTTATTCAGAAGAGAAGTACTAATAGTCCCCTAAATTCATGTACATATATTTATATAACACGTGGACTTCAGTGTATGGTAGAAGCGAATTCATTGTCAAGGTGATTAGTACAATATATTGAGTATTTAAACACAATACAATAGTCTCCCAAGTCCAGCATAGATATTTATACAATGTTTGGAGTTTGAATTACAGAAGTGGGATGGAATGCCTTAAGTGGCAGCTATGCAAGAGATGTAGATGCAAGGTCCTTGCTTGAGAAACTAGTGAACCCTTCTAGCAAATCTGAGAAAGCTGAGGAATTCTTGAGTGGTCTGGATGAGGAGCTTTTCATTGATCTGATGGAGATGTAACCTCGAAAATGGCTTTAGTTGCTACAGTCCATTACAAATATTGGATTGAGACAAAATCTTCTACTATTAATCCACACTGTCATCATCTTTAAGTATAGTTATGCTTCAATCACTTAATTCCATTGTATGTTCAACCTGTTTGCATTGTACATTATCAATGTTGGCATCATACATAAGTGTTTCTGCAAACTGAGACAATGCCTCCTCTACATTTTAAGATAAATATTCACCAATATAATGATGCATCTCCCCACCTTCACTACCTTCATTTTCAGGATGTAGTGTCCTTCACTAGTATGTTCATTCATCCCCTTAACCTTGTTGTGATTCTCCGATCACGAGAAGAGAATAAAAGAGGAAAAACAATTCTATTTCTACTTGAATAGAATTTAAAACGGAGTTTACAAACTCAAAAAAAACCTCTCAAAAGAGTCTCTCTAATCTCTCTTTTTCTCTCCTCTGTCCTATTTTTCTTCCTCTTAAGGGACATCTATTTTCTCTTTATTGTAGCACATATTTATAGAAAATTTTTTGCTACAAATCGTCATAAACTTGTAGCCAAAAAACAATCAAGAATTGCAGCTAGAGAATTTCATTTTTAATTGTCTTCTTGCATAGATGTTTTTTCTCCATTAAGCAATTGAAGTTGTGGCCATCAAAAGGTGGAGAGTTTTAATTCAAATTTTCTTCTTCATCCATGCATGTGGATTCTTCTACATTAAGAAATGAAATTCAACAATTTCGATTGGAAGAAGCTGGAAGAAACTTGATTAATATGCGGCTGGAACACATCAATCCTCATTTTGTACACTAATCCCAGGATCATCAATCATGGGTTCTTTATACTGTTCACTTAGCAGTGCATATGTTTGGTTAGGTACTGCCACATATATTTCCCCCAACGTGTGGCTTCTAATGTCTTTTAACATCTCATTCACATTTGATTCACTCCGCAATCTCTACATACATATGAAAGTGCTTCAAACAAATCCCTAGACAAGTAAGAAGGCTTCATATAGTTCAAGGACATCACTGTATCGTGTTCATATTTTACATTATTCGACTTATCGAAAAACCCCCCACTATGATTTGGCATTGTGAAGTAGTCCATATATTTAGCCGCTTGTACATGAAAATAATTTATTACTGAAAGTAGATCAAACTTCTAGCAATCAACATGCATAGACGTAAGAAACAAAAAATTGAACAACACGAGTAATAGATTGGTTGTACTGACTGATTTCGAGAGGCAGAACAGGGAGACTAACAATATTTAGGAGCTTCATCTTCAAAATCTCTTATTGTAGGAGAAAACGTCTGGATAAACACAGGGGGCAACTGAATATAACATCCCTTAATTGTAGGTTTGTTCAGAATAGGTGGTGACTGTTGGTTTCTTGTGTTTTACCATTCATTAAACAAACAACACCTAAAGAACTGGAGATGATGAGGAAATACTATATTGCCCTTTAGAAATTATTCATTTTAGCCCTCTTAAGTGGGTTTAATGCCTCAACAAATGGATTTGGACTGTAAGGAGGTCTTCAGCAAGGTTTGGGCCATCTAGAGGGATTTTTCACCAAAGTGACGGTACATGGGAATATTTCGAAATAGAGGCAAATGTCAGGGGGTTCGCTTCAATTACCTTTTATGGTAATGACCAAGCAATACATTTCTTAGACACGATCTTGCCCTCCTTTACACTTCTCTTTCTACTTTTATGAGGAAAAGTTATTCTGTAAAAAAAAATGTTGTATTGAATGAATATCTAATGTGATTTATGTGATGTTTGAAAAAGAATATTATTTATTATTTTGTACCGAAACTTTTTAACTCCATCTATTGAAGAAACTCGTCCAAGAAAACACAGTCTACTATAGTCTCCACAAGAATTTGATGTAATACATGACTCTCAATAACTTCGTGATATCTAATGCCTTGTTATACGTCCATGGCATCTCCTTGGTATCCTCACTTGGAAATGACAAAAATCTTCTCAATTTCGTCACTTTTAAAGATTACTCTATATGAGGCTTCTAATGTAATTCTTCTAGGTCGTATTTTGATGCCTTAGTCTCTCGCAGTTCTTCTAACTATAGCTACAGGTGCAGCGTAAGTGGATAATGCGACAAACTACTAGGATTTAAAATATTTTTACTGTCCAACTCTCGACCAATTTTATCCAAGCGACAGTCAAATACGTATACCAAATTGTAAAATAATTTTTATTTTGTTACGCAAATTTGTCTGACCAATGACACCTGAAGTTTGTTTAAATCACGACTCAAAGTAAGGGTGACCTGGTTGAGAGTTATACCAATGGACTTATGCTACCTTAAATGCTTCTTTCGAAATACGATTACTACATGATATCGATGGAATTAAAGACTAATATGAATGAAATTTTAATTTCTTTTTATTTAAGCAGATACTGATATCCAATTTTTCCAATAAAGCGTGTCACACAAGTACATTAACTAAAATTTAAGTATTTCTACACTTTTAAAATACTTATATATATTATTCTCTTCTTAGAAATAAATACATAAACCTGATAAATAAATTACGAAATTACAAAATGTACTCAAAATTTGTGAAAATCCACAAACTAGCCGTTTTCATCTTCCCCTCAACAGAGACTTCTCAGCAGTGTCCATCTCTTCAAGGATTCTTTTCATTCTCTTAGGAGGGATTGGAGCGGTCGGACCAAAGCTAATATAATGGCCAGAAACAGCATTAAGCGCCGAATAAATATCGCGAAACGAGGCTCGGCCCAGCAAAGCCTTCTCCCTTCTATACTTGGCCACCCAAGAGTTGGAAGTTTCCCTTAGCTGAGCCACAGCAGAATCTACGTCAGGGTCATTCTTGTCCAAGGTAATGGTAGTTCTGACCTTGTTGATTACGTCCTCAGTCTCTTTTACATATTCATCTTCTAAGGCGGCCCACGCCGGCGTTACTGGGAGGAGTAAAACTGGAGTGACAAAACCAGCCACGAGATATAAAAAGTCGCGACGACGAGTGGATAATGCCGTTGTGGCATGGGTAGCAGTGCCGGTGGTGGTGAATTTTGGTCTGATAGGTGTGAGGGGTTTTGGTGTAGAAGTGGTAGGGGTGATCAAAGTTGGGGAAGCCATGGCTTAGTTTGTGGGAAGAGAGAGTTTTGTGTTTTTGTTAAGGGAAGTGAAAATACTAGATGATTTGCCACGTTCGCTTATCATCTTATCTTGATCTAGCTTATGGATGAGAGAAAATCTGAGAGGATTGTGTTACATTTTATACAAGGCTTTGAACTAGACCACGTAGGCATACAAGGATATGCACCTATTAGAGGCTCAAAATAGTTATACTTTCAGAATGGTCTGCACAAATGGGGAGGAAAATTAAAAAATAAAAAAATAAAAAAATCAATTTATTCTTTGAATTGAAGGAGACGGGGATAATTTTTACGCTCTTGTTATATCTATCACTTAAAATGTGTAAGAATCTTTAAATGTGAGATTATCTAACATCGTTCTTTTGATATTCAAAATAATTGGACAATTGAACGTCACACAAAAGTATGGATACACATATCATAGATGGCTAATAATTTTTCATTTTTGCATCTTGAATGAATTTTACTGCTTTCGAGATGTCTCTTTATGTAAGCCTTTCTATTTTGCAATATCTCGAATGTGAATAGATTTATTGAGAAAGTTGTTATGATATCTAAATTTGTGCTTTTAATATAGGGATGACCAAATTTCTCATCATGTCGTCTCGCATTGTCCTTCCCGGAATGGTAAATGGGAGAGTATGGTCCCATATTTTCAATTTAAATTATTTTATTTCACTTTTATATTTTCATTGCAAACCATATTTAAAAGTATACACATATATAAAAAAATAATTAATTAAAATGTAGCAATATATGAAGATACTTTAATCCATAGGTATCAGACCCAACCCATTCACCGACCTAGAAAATCATTGGGTCACCGGGTCGTGGTTCAACCGGTGGGTCATTACTAGGTCGTAATTTTAATTAAAAAAAAATTTTAAAATGAAGGATAACAATCTTCCTAAATATAAAATATATATGTATTTAGGAATGTTGCCATAATGGTTATGGATGTGAGATTCGGCTTCAAATGTCAAGGGTCGAATCTTTGTTTTTGCATATTGAAGAAAAATTTTGTACCTGACTTTGTCATAAACCGATTCACCCTTACACTGGTTCCAAGTTCATCTAAACCTGTCTGGTTCGACCATGATATTGGGCGGTTCAACTGATCTTTGATTTGTTTACTTGCTTATTGTACCAAATATAGCAATCGGACCGGATCACAATTTGGTTTGCCACTTCCCGAGTTGGATCAGTTGGTTCGATCCGATTTTAATAACTATGCTTTAATCTCTATCATGTTTCCAAAAATCCTCAATGAATTGGGGATGGGATTAGGGATGGCAAAAAAACTCGTTCAACCCAATACTCGTGGGGTTTTGTCCCGAATGGGGGGGGGGGTAATACCCGCCTAACCGGGTACATGGGATGGGTATGGAGCGAGGATTATTGTCTTGAAGTGGGTATGGGACAGGTACGGGAAGCATAGGTCCCGCCCCATTACCCGTCCCGTTTAATATTAATTTCAAATTTAAGTTTTTACCAAACAAAAATAATAGATTTATTATTCTTTTAAAGAGAACATAAGTTGTTTTTAACAAATTAAAAAAAAATATATATCATTTACTAACTAAGGACATAAAAAATAAAAGCAAAAAAAATAATTTACAAACAAAGAAAAAAAAAAAAAAAAAAAAAAAAAAAAAAAAAAAAATATATATATATATATATATATATATATAAAGAAAAAATAAATGGGGCAGGCAACTTGCCCCATCCCAAACTTGCCCCGTCCCCCTTTAACCAGGTATCAATATGGGGTAAGATAACAAAAATACCCGACGAAATGGAGGTAGAAATGGCCGACCTCTCCCATACCCAACCCCGTTGCCATCCCTAGATAGGATGATGTCCCAACCTATTACTACCATGTTGCCTTCACTATTTGAATAAAAGTAATCTTGAATTATTTCTAATTAAGACTTAAATTGGTGAGTGCCTAGTAATTAGTCGTCAATTTACGTGCATAGTGGCCTCATTACTCCATAATCTGGAAAATTCTAATTTAAACCATGATAAATCCTCCACTTCCAAGGTGCGATTTGCGAAGCTTATGTCTGGACCTTGAAAGTACAATGTACTGGTCGACATATACAGTTATCGTAAAATCATTTTCTATTTAAATAGTCGTTGTTAGGGTTGTTTGATGATTCTTGATATTTTGGTGACTCATGGTGCATTTATTGTTACACCTTGCCATCGGCTTCATATGAAGCCTACTTGGAATTTTACGGAGTGGCATCCCACACTAGGCTGGCCGAAGCTCATCTTCAAAGTGGCGAAATTCCCTTTCATCAAAGCGATGGTGCTTCGGAGGCTCAATCCGAGGCTTGGTCATGGAATGGAATGACGCACCTCCTTCAAAGGTCTCCAATTGATAAAATCTTATTTAAATGATTAATGTGACCTTTATAATAAATGATATATCAAAATCTTGTCAGCATAGATTGTAGGGTAGTTACCTCCCTTTTAAGAGCATTAAATGCTCTATAGGCTGGTGAGATTAAATTGATGCTAAGATAGAAGGCTTCAACTAAGGATATAAGCCACGTGCCTACTCATCTAGTGGACACCATTTCATGTGTAACACTAAAAATATTTCCTCCTTTTATTACTTGAAGGCTAATGCAACAATATATATACTTGGAACTAGACTTCATCTTTTCTCTGGTTTAATCATCATCTATTGTTTGAGTTGGATACTTAAATTTGAATTTGTGTGTTTTTGGTCATTCTTGATTATGCAATCCCATTTATACATATCGTCGGCGCCTAAGCATTTTTGTCTTACGTCGTAAAGCTTTCCCTCGCCCACACTGAAATATTTTATCAACTAGTAATCCGTCCAAGCGTGTTGGAATTAACTTCCGTCGACACTAGTGGGCTCGGTATCTGTTGTCCACGTGATGATAAACATGATCAGAATATTAATTCGAGCCCATCGACTTCATGATATTTTTTTAAAACGAATTTGCTGCCTTCACAAGTGCCAAAGATGTTCAGCAATTGTTTTTCAAGATAAATTAAAATTCTTCTCATATGAAAGCATCACAACAATATACAGGAATTTTAACGAACTCAATGAAGTGTTTTCATTTCAAGAACAATATAAAAACGAGAGAGAAAAAGCTAAAGAGTGAGATGAATTTCAAAATAGAGGAAGTTTGCAATGAAAATTATGGAATTATTCAGGCAGTAGGGCAGACTATTTATAGACTCATTCGTGGTCATTCAAACATCCTTCAAAGCCTTTTCGAGCAAACAAAACTGTTTAGGATTGCATATGTAAGTCAGTTAACAAATAATCCAGACAAAAAATAATCCGAAAATGAGCCAAACCAAATTAATTTCATTAAATACATAAGAATTTGATTAATTATAACATGGCTAAAAAAATTTAAATAAATCTCGTCCAAAAAGACAATATAGTACAAGGACCCACTAGCACCCAAACACAAACTAAACCGGACTTGGACCTGTGCCATGCTAGCCAAACGACAGGGACGCGCTTGTGGGCTTTGGACCAAATAATAAGATATGGGCTCCCCCATTCCAACGACTATTGATAGTCTTTGGAGTACAAACCTAATTTCCAAACTTCCCCCTGGGCCCTTAACAAGGCCGAGTTGAATAATTTTACACAAATGCAAATGATTCAGTCAAACTTCGAGTTTGAACGAGTTAACCCATCGGTTGACCGATTTAACCAGCTATTTTCTTACTAAATTGGGCCGATTTTTATTTAAAATCGGGCTGTTGACTACTTTGACAGAATTTCAAAAGTTTTTCCATAAATATTTAGTTTTTAAAAGACTTAAGACTTGAATCTTTGTCCTCAATATGGGATGGGCAAACCTAACCACTAGAGCTCAATGGATTATTAAAAAAAATTATAGTCCTAATTTTAATTAAAATGAATTTAATATTTAACCAAAAAAAATCTAAATATATATAAATAATTTAAAATTTCTAATTTTATCTCAAAGAAAATTTCATATTCAAAAAAAAAAAACTTTTTAGAATTTTTTAATAATGACCCACCGGTCCAACCACTAACCCACGGGTTCAACCATTAACCCATGACCTGGTACCTCGATCGGGTCGATGTCCGGATTGGATTTAATAACTATGGTTTCAAGTGAGATACTTTAATATCAAATATTTCATTTAATTTTAAATGATTTTTGATAAATAAATATATCACCTTAATCACTTATAAATTAGAACGTGAATATGCTTGATCCCGCTAAAATTGAAATGTGAGTACCACTAAAATTGGAGCTAAAAGTTGACCCGCTTCACTAATAATAAACCATGTCCAACAATTACAATACATTGTTCTACAATTTATATACAGAGGCTTTAACAATGCCTAATAGAAATTGGAAACCAAATAATTCATTCCCAGACTAATTGGAGGAATAATGATGGCTATTGTAACATTCGGAATTTTTTTTTTTTTTTTTAAGAATTTTACTGATTTCATAATATTCATTATATATATTGAAAATAAAATATTATAATTGTAAATTCTACCTAGGTAAAAAAAAACATAATTTTGAAAATAATATTTGCAGAGTAGTCCTAATCCTCCTAAATAAATATAAATAGGGGATGGGTTTTATTCAATTTTCCCAGACACGTGTTTGTTTCTAAAAACAAATTTTACCAATGGGGTCGACCCATCTTTGTCCATGGGGTTGATCCCCTTTCATAAATTTATTATGGGTCAAACCCCTACATAAAAGGGTCGACCCCTGTTATCTTAGGGAAATCGACCCCCATTAATGCAGGGGGAATCGATCTCCACTGGTAGAGAAGAGATCGAACTCCATGTATATTGAGGAGTCGGCCATCCTACACAAAGAGGTCAAACATGTTGCACAGTTGTGGAAAAAAAAACTTGCCTAACTCTTTGTGTAGACTTGGAATTGAGATTCATATAAGTCGTTGGAATTCATGACTTAATAACGTGTCCAATAGTATACTATGCCCTGTTTGAGCCCCATTTTAGTTAAAAAAAAAAAAAAAAATTTGTAATAGTAATTTTTTGAAGAATGTGTGGTTTAAAAAG